CTCAACGATGATGAGGATGAGGATGATGAGTGGTGGTGAAGATGAGTGGTGAAGAGGCTGATGATTGATTGTGAGTGGTGGTGGCGATGATGATGTTTGAATGAGGATGATGCCGATGATGATGATGATGATGATGATGATGATGATGATGATGTTCGTGAGCGTGTGGGAGAGTGCGAGTGATGATGATGATGATGATGATGATGAGTATGTGAGTGACTAAGCATGTGAGAGAGCATCATCGATGATGCTGATGAGGATGATGATGAGAGAGTGTGAGTGAGTGTGAGTGTGTGTGTGTGTGTGTGTTCCTGTTCCTGCGCGGGGTGTCCAGAGAAAACAAGAACCCCACTTTGGATGTGGGGAACAATTGGCAGCTCCGGGCAGGCCCCAAGGACCTCCGATAACTTGCGAACCCATGGGAGCGAATACCTCGGAGGCCACCTGTGCACCGACCCTGGCCTTTTCCAGGCCCATTCACGGAACAGGACCTCTGCGCGCGACTACCATGAAATCTCTGAGGGCGGCCCGTGCGTCGATCCTGCCTCCGTTATCTCCTACTACTATAAAATCCGTTCTCCCTCTGTCTGTTTCTTTCCTCCCTCCGTCTCCTCCTCTTTTTTCTCACCCTCCTCCCTCGTTTTCCTTCCCGTTGCCTCTTCCCCCTCCTGCTTTCCTGCTCAGGGATTACCTTGCATCTATATGGGAGGGGGAGAGGGGAGGACAAGCGGAGGCTCCCGGTGGGCAGGCCTCCGATTGGCAGGCCCCCTGCTGCTGGCTGGCTGGTGGCCGCCTGGAAGGCACGGGCACGGCGGGCAGCCCCGCGGCCTGCGGCGCGGCTTGCACGGCGAAGTCCCCGGAGAAAACTTGCGTGGACTGCGAAGCCGGCCCGCCAGCCCAGCCTTTGTCGCTGCTCACTCCGAGGTCCTGTGTTCCTGGGAACTGGTTCTTGGTTTTGGCGCTTTCGACCTGCTGGTGCAGCAGCGTTTCCTGGGCAGACGTACTCTCCTCGTCCTCTAGCATGACCCACTGGAAGCGTAGAGCGCCGCCCTTGTCCATTCGAGGCGGCTTTCGCGAGGTCGCCCAGCCGTTTCTCCATCCGTAAACTAAGAAACAAAAGAATATGAAACCGCTGGGCCCTCCCAGGGGTTTCTTGGGCCGTTTTTCGGCGATTTCGGGCTCGTTCCCCAGTTTGGAGCGTTGGACACTCGAACTGCCGAGAACGCTCAGCTCTGTCCGAACCAACATCAAGCTGTGTATGTGGTGTTTCCCGAAGCCCTGTGGGTGCCGTCTCGGATCATTATTGGGGCGTCTTGGCGGCCCTTTGACCCGTCCTGAGACCGTCTTGGGTCGTCCATCCGCGATCCTAAGCTGTCTCGGAGCCCTTTTGGACTGTCCGGGGAGCCTCCTGGGGCCTTTCTGGCCCGTCCTGGGGCCTTTTTTTGTGTTCCCGCTTTGCCTATATCCTGTCCCTCTCTCCTCAATTCTCCCTCCCGTCGCCATCATCAGTCGAATTTTTCCCGCCCGTGAAGGGCGGCGATTAGAGTGGGCGCGGCGCGGGCCAGAACAAGGCGCGCCGGAGGACCCGTCGCAATGGTAGCGGAACTGCTTGCGTGCAGCGGCCAGCAGGCGGCCACGGTCTATGTGAGCACGGCGTGAGCATTATCTACAGCTTTGGATCCGACCCTTCGGCGGGGGTGGCGGCGCGCCGAGTCAACGCCCTTGCAAAGCGATGGCGTTGGTGAGGTCGAGGCGCGCAGGACCAAACCACCAGAGAAGCTTCGCATTGACGTCGGTACATTGCCGCATGGATCGGCGCGTTGTCCCGCGCATGCGAAAGTTTCGGACGTTCGGTTATGGAGGGCGTCGCGCATATCTAAGAGACGGCGCCCGCATATGAACGAGCGGCACATCGTCGCCATCGCCGCGTGGTCACCGCCGAAAGTTTGCATGCAACCGGTTGTTCGTGGATTGGGCGGCATTGATCGGATGGGGGCGGTCAGATAAGCGCGGGAAGAAAGGGCCCCCCCGCGCCGCGTCGAGTTCTGAGCCCGCTCAGGGGTCGCGTGGCGTCGGGGCATCGCGCCCCGCGCCGCTCAGATGAAAACGAGCGGCTTTGCGCGGCGCCTCCCGCGTCGGATCTCACCCTGGATCCCCCGCCCTTTCGGCGCGGGCGTCTCGGAACCGACGGCGCGCCTTTCTTTGCGCGGGGGCCGCGCGGCCGAGCGTTTCGGGTGCCCCGCGATTCGCGCTGGCGGGGGCTGATTGCATTGGAGCCCGCCACAATGGCCCGAGCGTTGTAAATGTGCTTTTTCTTATTTGTACCGTGTACGACTCCAGCTGCCCCGGCTTGCGCTGCTTCGAGGACCAGCCGTGCAGGTACAACACCACGGGCTGCTACTCCGCAGCCTTGGCGCAGCAGAAGGTGAGGACGACGCCCACGAACGATGCCGAGTGCGAGGCCGTGCCGGGCACCAATACGGACGAGCCCATCGTGCACGACTCCAGCTGCCCCGGCCTGTGCTGCTTCGAGGACCAGCCGCGCAGGTACAACACCACGGGCTGCTACTCCGCAGCCTTTGCGCAGCAGAAGGTGAGGACGACGCCCACGAACGATGCCGAGTGCGAGGCCGTGCCGGGCATCAATACGGACGAGCCCATCGTGTACGACTCCAGTTGCCCCGGCCTGTGCTGCTTCGAGGACCAGCCGTGCAGGTACAACACCACGGGCTGCTATTCCGCAGCCTTGGCGCAGCAGAAGGTGAGGACGACGCCCACGAACGATGCCGAGTGCGAGGCCGTGCCAGGCATCAACACGGACGAGCCCATCGTGTACGACTCCAGCTGCCCCGGCCTGTGCTGCTTCGAGGACCAGCCGTGCAGGTACAACACCACAGGCTGCTACTGAGGGGAGAGCTTCTCTGTAGCATGGTAGATCAACATGTCTTGCCACACTCGCAGCCGATGGCGCAGTACCTTGTCGGAGAAGCATTTGGGCCGCCTGCATGACGAGGTCGTGCGCTGGCCCAGCCTTGGCATTGTCGAGTTTCTGTGTTGCAGCGTCTCAACGGACTGTGCGTAATTCTGATGACAATTTTGTGTTCAGCATGCTCGAATGCTTGCTGCGCCCAATGTTCACGGCTCTTCAATATTTGTATGTAGCACCCCGCAATTGCGGGTAAGAGTGAGAGGGCGGGCGCGGGCGACGCGGGCGTCGAGCCCGCGGATTTCGTGGCCCTCACGAGTGCAAACGAAGCCTGGAACGAATGCAAAAGAAGCCCGCCCCAGGCGCCGAAAATTTTGGGTGGGTCGCGGGGTGGGTCGCGGGTGAGTCGCGTGTGTGTCGCGGTGGGTCGCGGGTGGGTCGCGAGTGGGTCGCGGGTGGGTGGGGGTCGCGGGGTGGGTCGCGGGTGGGTCTCGGGGTGGGTCGCCGGTGGGTCGCGGGTGGGTCGCCGATGCAAAAGAAATCCGCCGCAGGCGCCGAAGTTTTGGCTTGTTCAGTGAACGTAGTTTGGGTCGCGGGTGGGTCTCGGGCTCTCCACCTCCACCTGGAAGGAATTCAAAAACAGCCCGCCGCAGGCGACGAACATTTTGATTTGTACACTGAACGCGGTTTGGGTCGCGGGTGGGTCGCAAGTTCTCCACCTGGAACGAATTGGAACGAATGCAAGAGAAACCCGCCGCAGGCGCCGAACATTTTGGGTGGGTCGCGGGGTGGGTCGCGGGTGGGTCGCGGGTGGGTCGCGGTGGGTCGCGGGTGGGTCCCGGGTGGGTCGCGGGTGGGTCGCGGGGTGGGTCGTAAGGCGTGTCGCGGGTGGGACTACGACAACAGACAACAGACAACCACCACCAACAACAACAAGAATCCGCATCGCGGAATTCCACTTCAGCCACGGACCCAGGGACAGTGAATGACCGTTCGGTTCAGCCCCCTCACTCTGGTCGGATGTTTCTCTTGCGTTCCGATTCCTGGACTTAAATGTCTGCGTGCACTTTGGCGGAGGGGCCACTTTTTGTTGTGGCCATCTCCGCCCAAATTCGGCTAAACACGAAGTGTAGGGCATTCACTTCCAAATAGCAGGGAAAGCCCTCGCCGCAAGCATCGCAGATGGAGGCGGCGACATCGGAGCAGCTCGCGTCGCTGAAGCCCTGGTGGCGTCCAACATTGACAGCGCAATCGAAGTTGGCACCCGCTGGCATCCCGCGCGTCACTGGAGGACAAGGTGTCGTCGCCACTGAAGTCGGCGTGGACATAAAGGGGTCCTCATCCCCCTCCCCCTCCCTCCTCCCTCCTCCCTCCACCTCCTCCTCCTCCTCCTCCTCCTCATCCTCCTCATCCTCCTCCTCCTCCTCCTCCCTCCTCCCTCCCTCCCCCCCCCCTCCCCTCCTCCTCCTCCTCCTCCTCCTCCTCCTCCTCCTCCTCCTCCTCCTCCTCCCATCCTCCTCCTCCTCCTCCTCCTCCTCCTCCTCCTCCTCCTCATGCGGCCTGATCTGTTTTTTTCGCAGCCGATTCGACGACGCGGGCCCACACCATAACATCACATAACAAGCCAGAGCCGAACGCCGCATAATAGAGAACCACAGAACATCAAAAACAAATACAATCCAGAGCACAAGCGAACATCACAGAACAAACCCAAACCAGGCCAGACCCCCAGTTGCCCCGAGAATCCCGCATCCCTGCCGCCGCCCCGCCGCGGGCGGCCTCCCCGCCTGCGTCCCTCAGTCTAAGGATGGGAGGGGGGAGGAAGGAGGAGGGGAAGGAGGCAATCGGGAGGAGGAGGAGGAGGAGGACAGGGGCCCAAGGTTTCGGTGGGGATCGCTCGAAGCAAATAATTTGTTGTTCAGGTTCCCACTCCCTGTTCCTGCCTGGCAGGGATGACGCCTGAGTGGGATCGAGGTGGTTTGCGCAGCGGGCCGCCCACGTCCAGGACGCACCGAAGACAGATAATGCGGAGGAGTGCCCCTCACTTCTCTCCCCTCTTCCCGCCCAGCTTGCGAGGACGTCCGGACTGGCCCTTCCGGCGTTGTCATCACCGCGAACGCCTATTTGGTGGCGCCCTCCTCAGATGACAGATGCGCAAACCATGACATCGACAGGAACACTCGCAGGTCCGTGCGGATTCCTGGGGTCGGCGCTGGAGCCCCCGCACGCCTGGGAGAGGGGCCCACCGCCGATCCGTGCAGCCCGCGCGGACCTCGACGTTTTACGGGGAGGGGCTGGAGCAGGAGGAGGACGAGGAGGATGAGAAGGAGGAAGACGAGGAGGAGGAGGACGACGACGATCAGGATGGGGAGAGGGACGGGGAGGAATACGAGCAGTACGAGGATGAATTGTGGGCATTCGAATGCGTGCGGGGCTACGCCCGATTTATGGTCGTCGTTTGGGCTGGGGGTGGGGCCCAAGCGGGGAGTGTCTTGAGATTGTGTCGTCGCTGGGGGCCGGCTGGCCTTCGATCCCCGGGCGCTCTTGGGCCGCCGAGCGGCAGCAGAACAGCAGCAACTGTTGCGGCAACGTTCCTGGCTTCCCGCCTGACGAGGAGGAGCCGCGGTCCGTTGGTTCGCGCTCTTGGATGTGGCAAGTATTCGTAGAGACCCGTTCTGGCGGATAAGAGTGAGAGGTCGGAAGAGGAAAAGGTACCCATACCGCTGACCTTGCCTTGCTTTCGCCTTGTCTAGGCCTCCTGGGAGGCCCTCGTCGTCACTGCTGGGTTCGCTTGGAGATCCTGTTCTGAAGGCACCCCGGGAGAGGGCCAGGGAGTAGCGGTATGGGTGCCGCTCGGTTTTCCCAGAAGGATTGCCCCCAAATGTTGCCCCCGTGAATTGCCCAGGAGTGCTGCCTCAATGTGCTGCCCCGTGAATTGGCCACGTGTGGCTCCCCTTTATTTCGCCCAAGTGATGCGCACCATGTACTGGCCCGACGTATTGCCCCAATGCGCTGCCCCCGGAGACCGAGCCCTCCATCCAGCCACGCGCGCAAAGGGAGAAAACAAACTTGCTCGGGCCCCGTCACTGTGACTAGCCTGAAACCACTTGTTCCGAGCTTCGATAGGCTTGAGTATTTCGCGCCGAGCCTATGCCCTCGCATCCTTGCCTCTTCGGCCCATCTCTCGCCGCAGCCCCCAGAGCAGTCGGCCCGATGCCGCTGCAGTTGTCTCCGCCCGGGCGTCCCCGCGCCGTTGCGCTCGTGCGCCGAATCTGGGCAGTGATGCTCGGTCTTCGTTCTGTGGGCTGTGTCCGATCGCACCTTCGCGTGATCGGGGTCCTCTCTCCCTGGACACCTCGTGGGCGGCACGCAGCTCCGCAGCCACCGCCCCGCAGGCCAGGCCCGCGGGCCGCGAGCCCGCGGATGCGGGGCGCCTGTTTGGCGGGGACGCCCCGCGCGGAACGTGACCGCGCGACCGCGCATCCGCGGGATCGCGCCTCGGAGTCCAGACCGCGAGGGCACGGGTTCCCACACGGTCGCCGCTCGCGATCAGCTGGGTCACCCCCGGGGGCGCGAAGGCGTCGCAGTGGAAGCCCATGGCAAGAGGCACCCTGCTCGCCTCCAGGGCGCCCTGGGCTTCCTGGGTTTCGATCGTTTTGCACTGGGGAGCGTGACGTCCGCATAGCCAAGATCAGTGGACGTCCTGGGTTTCCAGGGTTCTGGTTCTTGTGGAAGGTCTCTTGTGGCCGAGCCCCTAATATAATCGCATTGCGCGCGTCGCGGCCTGGGCTGGAGAGCCGCCCTTCTCCGAGGAGTCGGCTCGAGGGCGTGAGGACATGGCGCATCGTGGGGCGCGATGCGCCGAAGGTAGACGGGCTAGCCTTGGGCTTTGGTTTTGTGGGCTGCTTCTGGCCTCACCGCAGCGTTATCTCGATTCTCTTTTCTGGAGCACCGATCGGATCGGGGTCCCGCCAGCGGGTTCTCCGCGATCGTGTCTGCAGGTCTTGGCGCTTCTCGTGTCCGAGCTGAGAGACTTCCTCACACCGAGTTATTCGACTACGATTGTTATCGACAGTAATCGAGAGAAGTCGGTGAAGCTGAACTTCGACATCGTGCTGTTTGATTTGCCATGCAAATATCTGAAGCTAGTAGTATATGATAAATGTTAGGCGCTTCGCGTATACCCGCCAGCCCATCCAGGAACGATGTCCAGGAGAGTTGAGGTGATCAGGGAAACGTGGTAGCACAGAGGGGGACGGCCGAGCCGTGCGAAGGAGGGAGGGGGAGAAGGAGGAGGCTGGATGGATGGATGAGGGAGTGGGGAGAAGGAGGATTAGTGGGATGAGGAGGGGGAGGAGGAGGGAGGAGGAGGAGGAGGAGGAGAATGAGAAGGAAGAGGAGGAGGAGGAGGAAGAGGAGGAGATGAGATGAGACGTCCCCCAGGGACGTCCAGGGAGGGATGGGCCAGCCCGATAGAACATGGGAAGGGGTGCACCATCGAATAATAATTGCGAAGGCCTTACGGCCGATGCCGCCGACCCTGTAGGCAGCGACGACGAAGACAATGGAGGTAGAGGAGTCCAAGATGCCCTCATGGCTCGAAGACGGCGCCAGATGCCTGCAAGGCCGTCCGAAGACAGCTCAAGAGGCCCCTTCCAGGGTTCGACAACGGCTCCAGAGAGTTCCAATATAGACAACGAGCGCCCTCAAGTGGCCCGAGCCGTAGACGGGCAAACGGGGCAGTAGGTAACGGCGATGCAGGTTTCGGTGTTGTAGGTGGGGTTGGCTCGTGTGCTGGCGGCGTTGGTTTCGGGGGAACCGCGCCGTGCAGGTGTTTTGCATTTAACGCATTCTCAGCTTCCGTCGCTGAGCAACTGGTCGATGCATGTATGCTGTTTGGCCGAAGTGTATGCTGGTTTGCGAATCCGTTTATTTAGTTCGGTCAATGTCAGCGCTTGCCTTGTGAATTTTCTCGATCTGCTTCTTTCCACCCTCCTCCTCCCTCTCCTGCCAGCTTTCTGCAGGCAGTGCCCAGCCCGCCAGGTGTGGCCGTATAGGTTGCTGCGACGGTGTCCCCATTCAGGCGAGAACTTGTTATGGAATGCATTCGCTCGCGTGCGACCGCGGGCACAGTGGAGCCAGCAGCACTGCGTCGCGACCCAGAGTCTGACAACTGCGCTACCCGCTATCCCATGTCTCGCTCCTCTTTCTCCAGTCTTGCACATCTTTCTCCCTGTTCCTCTCATTCTGCCCGCGTCTTCGGCCGTCGGCCGATTCGGTCAGCGGAGTTTTGGCCGCATTCGCAGGGCAGGTTTTGAACTGGCGATGTCTGGGGCTGTCGCGACGCCTTTCTTATATAAAAAAGGCCATGAGGAGTTGGGGGGCAAAGGGGAGGAGTGGCCGGGCGGGGGCGCGTTGAAACGGATACGGAAGGTTAGGAGGAGGAGGAGGAGGAGGAGGAGGAGAAGGAGGAGGAAGACAACGACGAGAAAACACACGGTCGCTGCCCGCCATTCCCCCGGTCTTCGTTATCTTCCATGAGTTTCGTCGTTATTCCCACGCCTGGACGAGGGGCCGACGCACCGATGTCAAGGCAGCGGCGTTGCTAAGAATGCAACGCGTTGCGGGTGTGAAGAGTCGAGGGTGCCTTGTCACGGGGGCACGCAGGACCACTGCTCGGGGCTCGAGCTCTTGCTTCCCCTTCCAACCTTTCCTACCGGTCTGGCCTTTCCGCCAACCTTCCCTGCCAGCGATGGCCGATGCCAGGGCGGAGGCGACTTCCGTCGAGGGTCCGGGCAGCGGCATGATCAGGGACTGCAGGAAGCGCAACGCGGCGAACCAGAAACGCATCTCCAAGGCGTCGGACAACAACCTCGACTTGCAAATCATATTGATCGGCGAGATCGAAAAGTACGAAAGGGTGACACAAAAACGTGGTGGCGGAATCGGCAACATTTCGGATGTGGTGGAGGAGGCCACGCAGAAGAACACCAAAGTAGAGATCAAGTGGGACGAGTGCCCCGCCCAGGCCCCCGAGCGCTGGCAGTGGGCCTGCAAGAAGTGGGGCCCCGCCCTCATCACGCGCCTGGTGATGTTCTGCGACCCCAGCATGCGAGTCGCGATCGGCGTGAAGGCTGGGTCCAAGTCAAAAGAGACTCAGCAAATATTGGAGTTCGCGTGGGACTTGCAATTCGCAGCCGCAGATGGTGACTACGTCCCGATCTCAGAGCTCGCCCACCTTTTTCTCGACCCTGAAGAACGCCAGCGCGGAAAAGGGCAACGGGCTTCGCTTACTCATCGAGGACTTGCTGCAGACAGGAACAGTCGATTGGAATAACGCTGGCGTGTATTTCCTCACCAAGCCCGAGAACGATGTATTGATCACGAACCGCTTCGCCAAGGTTCCCAAAAAGGTCGATGAGGATCACATCGGAAACATGGGCTGGGCGAAGATCCGCATCGCCGAGGGCTGGTCTCAGACCGAGGCCTTGATGGTCACAGACAAGGACGAGGTGAAGTGCGCCACTTTCTTCCCCGCGTTGAAGAGGAGCCTGGGGCGCGTGAACAGCCAGGGCGACCCCGTCGCCGCCATCGGCCGGGCGAAGTGTGCTCGTCTCCAGTCGGCTTTCAGCTCAGGGTCAAAGGCGCCGCCGAAAGGCGCCTCGCCAGTCCCGAAAGCAAAGGCGGCGAAGGCGGCTGCGGGCTCAGGCGCCGCGCAGGCCTTGGAAGGCAGAGCAGCGGCCCCGAGGCGGCCGACGACCCCGGCAGGCAAGGCGAAGGCGGGCCCTGCGAAGGCGCCGGGCCCGCTAGCTGAGGCGGCGGAGGCCGGGGAGCTCTGAGGGCGAGGATTGTTTGGAGGACCAGCCCTGCGATCTGCCAGCCGCTGTAGCAGCGATGCGTGGACTGTGCCCTGCACTGCTGCAGACGGTGCCACGCTTTTTTTGCGGGTTGCGAGATTCGTTTCGACGGCTGCAGCGCGACGGGCCCCGGCTGTAGCCGAGGCCGCGCGCTGGCCTGCTACGTCGCCGCGTGGCGCGCGATCCTGCCAGCGACAGTCGGGGCGGCAACGCGCGCAGCAGCGCGCGCTCACGTAGAGCGAATGCAACAGCGCAGCCAGTTGCAATCGACGGTGCCAGCAATCAAACATGCAGACAAGCGACAACGGGAACGCTGCCCCCCGCCAGCGGGGAAGGGTGGGGGGGGAGGGGAGGCAAAGGCGCGAGGATGAGGAAGATGAAGGGAGACCAGGGGAAGGAGAAGGAGGTCGATAGCGAGGAGGAGGATGGCCAAGAGCAATACGATGATGAATGCGACGACAAAGACGTCGACAACCATGGGGGCGCTGGCACGCGCGCTCAGTGCGCAATCTAGTGGAGTAAGAGTGGCCGTATTAGCGAGTGCTCGTAGTCGAGATTCTTTGCGGGCCAGCCACGCCGCGGCCCGATGCGCATTGTCCTTCGAGTTGGGCCCCGGCCTGCCCCGCTGGAAAAAACATTCGACCATATCGCCATTCTGTCGTCGTCGCTGGGTTCGGCACATTGCACGCGGCACGCGGCTCGCCCCCCGCTGCTGCCAAACGCCCGCGTCGGGGCCCCATGCCACCTAGCTCGTTAACGCGAGCGCCCCAAGCAAAGCGGGGCGCTTGCCAATCGCGGGCCCTTTCCGCGTGCAAGGCAATCCACCCCAGGGGGCTCTTGAACCCACCCCCATCGGGCCGTCTGCGTCGGGCTGCGCGCCCGTGCTCAGGGCACGCATTTCTCCTTGCGGGCTTGTGCAATCGACCCCGTGTCCACGCCCAGGGCCTGGGCAGCCCGTCCCGCGGGGCTGCGCAAGCCACCCCTTCGGGATCTTGCCCCAGGGGACGTTCTCTCGCGCTCTCGGTATGCATGTCCCCCCATCGGGGTTGTGCATTCATTTCCTTCCACGCCTGGGGCTTGCGCATTTATCCCAGGAAGGCTGAGCATTCTACCCTCTCGGGGCGTCTGATTTGGGGCTGTCTTCTTTGTTCGCAGCGTGCTCGTCGCCCCGCAGGGCTGTGCAATCCAGCCCCCAGGCTCTCTCGCCCCCCCTCCTCCTTCCTTGCCTGCTCCGTTCCTGTCGCGGAGATTTCCTTCTCGACCCCCCCTGGGGGCAGCCGTCCTGGGGCACTCGAGGGATTATTCCTGAACGCTTCGCGCATCCCCGCCAGCCCATCCAGGGAACATGTAAAGGCGAGTTGCCTTGGCCTTGACCACGAAAGTGCAGATCTGGCGCTGCGGGGGCGCTCTGGAGGCTCTTTGGGGCCATCGTGGGGCCCCAGGATGGGGATCAAGAGGGCCCTGGCGGAACGTGCCACTGAGGGGCCCCTCGGTGTCCCATAGGGGCCCAACCCAACTCTGTGCGTAGAGTTGGGTTTGGGCCCTCCTGGACCCCTCTGGTGGCCCTCTTGGAGCCCTCTTGGGGCTCCCCTTGGGCCGTCTTGGAGCCCTGTGGGGGCACTCTCGGAGTCCCCCAACTGGACCCCAGAGTGGTCAATAATTCAAGGCCCCGGCTATATGCGGGTTTGGGGTCCGATTGGGGTCATATTGGAGCAGTTTTGGGGCCCTCTTGGAGCCGCCACGGGGCCCTCTTGGGCCCTTGGGGAGCTCCAGTTGGACCCCAGAACCGTACATAACCGGGGCCTCGAGTTATATACCATTATGGGGTCCAGTCGGGGTCCTCTTGGAGCTTTCTTGGGGCCCTGTTGGAGCCCTCTTGGGGCCCTCTTGGAGCCTTCTTGGAGTCCTCTTGGAGCCCCAAGAGAAGGCCGGGACAAGGTGGGGGGCCCCCGATGGGGCCGCAGAGGGGGGGGCACGAGGGCCCCATGAGGGCCCCGACAAGGCCCACTGACGCATATACTTGGGTGCCCCTCTGGCAAGCCCAAGACGCACATCAAGTGCGTGCGATTTAGGGCCCTCTTGGGCCTTTATCGGGGCCCTCTTGAAACCCTGTGGGAACCCCTTGGGGCTCTCTTGGCGCCCTCTGGGGGGCCCCGAGGAACGTCCAAGGGACATCCGAGGAGACTCTGAGTCATTCAAGAAGGTGCAGGCTCTTCTGTTCGCCCACTCGCGGCCGCTGAATCCTGCGGGGCGCGGCGGTTGCTGTCGAAGCTTGGCGTCGGGGGGAATCTCGATTTCAAATTTTGGGCACTTCGCGCATCCCCATCAGCCCATCCAGAGAATGTGCGTAGTCGTTGCCTTCATCGGGGAAGCGTGGCAGACCGCGGCGCAGCTTCATGCAGCGGAACGAGGAAGGTCCCAGGAGCGGCTCAAGATGGCTCCGTGGGCTCCACGAGGGACCCATGGAATAAATAAGTACATGGAAAAAACCCGCGCCCAACGGCAATTGCAGGGCCATCGCAGGGACATTGTAGGACGTCGCGGGGCCGTTGGCAGGGAAGTGCCGGGTCTTTGCAGGGGATCTTTGCAAGGGTCTTTGCAGGGTCTCTGTAGGGGTCTATGCAGGGTATTGCATGGGGCCTTCGCGCGGTCGTTGCAGGGGGCTTTGCAGGGTGCTACAGGGGGCGGGGGGGGGGGTCCAAGAAGGGGTGGAGAAATGGGGGCCATGACAAGCTGGAGTAAAGATCCCCTTAAACCACGTCAAGCCTTCAAGGGGTGGCGGGATTCAAGGGGGATCCTACGGCGCATCCGCGCGCCAAGTACAAGATTGAGGAGGAGGGGATGGTTGCCCAAGACCTCTGGCGGTTTACGTTCGCGCTGCATCGCCGCAGGGTCAGTAGCTGCTGCAACTGCGACATGTCCTTGCCGGGGGCTTTCGCTCTGCTCTTGTCGGCCCAGCCGGGCGAAGTGCAGGTCGGTCTCAACTTCTGTCGGAGAGCTTGGATGGCCATCGCTGCGGCCAAGGGGCAGGCTTTGAAGAGTAGTTCCGTCGAGGCAATCTTGGACGCGATATTGTCCGTGGATTTCGCGGGCGCGTGGGCGATTTCATTCTCTCTGGCTGAGTGGGGCTTCATATTCGCGGCGCCCCCCGAGGCGGAGTCTTTGAGGACAGCGCGCGCGAGCTTCGGGCATGGCTGCGTCGACGAGGGGGCTTTCAACGAGATAAAGGACCACCAGAGAGACTCGAAGAACCTCAGGATGGGCAGGATGACAAGATGGTTGTGGCCGATAGACAACCAAGGAGGTTGGAGCAGACGATGTTCGAATCCCAGGCCATTGCCCCCGGTGTTCCAGATGCCGAGCTGCGGGCCATCATGGGGCGGAACACTTGGGGGGGCGTGGCGCCTCTGGGGGCCCGTTCTATCGCTGCTGCTCTTCATTTGCTGATGGGGCGCCACGAGGAAGATGCTTGGTTGATCGGGGGGCGCGCTTGGAAGAGCACGTTCGTCATTCCAGGCCGGGTGTTGCTGGGCAAAGGTCTGAATCGCCTTTTCCTTGTTCTGATTTGCAATCAGCGCGGCGCGCTGTGCAAACCGTGCGAGGCCGAAACAATCAAGGGCGCGACGTTCGTTCGGCCTTGAAATTGGGCACGCAGGGAGGGTTATCTGGGAGCACGTCGAAAACTTTGAAGATTATCGAGTTGCTCCTTTGGACGCCGCAGGTCCTGCTGCCCGGCGTATCGTTCGCGGCATCGCTTCGGCTGAGAATGAGGTTTCTCTTGTATTGGGGGGGGCGATGATATCCCACGCGCCAGCGCGGAGACGGCCTTCATATGTATGTCGGAGCCACTTCTGGTGAAGTTGCTGACGCATCGCCTCATTCCGGAGATGAGCGGCGTGCTCAACAAGGCGGCGGCTCTCGCGCGCTCGATCTTGCCCAAAACCAGCGACTCGCAGCTCGCCGAAATCTCAGAACGGCGAGGCAGACAGCATAGACAGCAAGAGCAATCCTTGCTATCCGAGGAGAACTTGCAAGAGGTAGGCGCCCTGGACGCAATTGACACGAAGTCCTGCAGCGCGATCTTGGCCGACGACACGGCGATGGGGGCGCACTTGCAAGCGCAAGGCTTAGTCAAAGCCTCTGGCAACAAGAGCATGGACAGCCCCGGGCTGGCCGAGGCTGCAGCTAAACCAAAGGCTGCTGCGGCAGCTCCTGCCGGGCCCAAGCCGAAACCTGCGAGCGCGACTCTGGACGTGGCGAGGACCTACTTGCCGAAGGTAACTGGCGTCTTCACCCAGCCATATCCTGAGAAGCGAGCTTTCCAAGTGCACCGCCCAAGGGGCGATCCCCCGTGGTCAAAGTATTAAACCCACGCCGCTCCAGGCGTTGACGGGCTCACGGAAAGGGGCGCGTTGCTCGGATGCTTGAGGTGGGCGTGGAACGCTCGCTATGAGAAGACGGGCGCTAACTGCCCGTGCCCGTGGATTGAAGCGACGACGCGGGGCGGCCGATCCACCCTGCGCGGGTCGTTGCGAGGCAGACGCGCCCCGTAACATCCGAGCTTTTTTTTTTTTTTGCTGGGGCAGTTGCTGACGCACCCTTCCAGGCGAAATGCGGAGGGAAAAGGGGGAGGGGGGGCAGGGGGGCCTTTGGGAATAGATGTCAAGAGCGTCGCGCTCTCGGCATCTTCGACGGGGCTGCGCGCCTGGAGCGCAAACCGTGGGGGCGCCCGCTCGGGGGCGTTGGGCGGGGGGCTGGCCTCCGCCACGGCGGGGTTCGTTTGGGGGCCCGTCTTTGCCAGCGCAATCGGAATCCCAAGCAATTCGCGGCGTTTCGCGCATCCCCCCCAGCCCAGTCATGAACGTCGCCCAGGCGAGTTGCCCGCGCCAGGGGGGTGGGGGCAAGCAGTGGCACAGGGGCGAGAGCAGCCACAATATCGAAAACGGGGATCTGGCCGAGCAGGCACAGGAGTCAACCAGAGA